GGGGGGGGGGGGGGGGGGGTAGATATGCGGCTCGGTTAAAGTTTCTACGGTTGCAGTTTGCTCGCCTCACGATTCGTGGGGCATAATAGAAGTGGGTTGAAGAGGCGGAAAGTGATACCGGATGCGTAGACACGATAGGGAAAATACGTCTGAAGCCACCTTTGACAAATTTTCTAGCAAGGAACGATTGGCTATCGGTGATCGGTCCTGCGGGAACAATGCTCCGTCCTCTCGAGGACGCGTGGTCACTGGTCTAACCGCTAAGGCGTGTAAAACATGAGAGTACCCCGCCCCCTCCCTTCACGATCACGCCTGTCCTATTTGGTCGTCGACAGACCGACACGCTTCGCCCCGGCGTCATAGATGGGGACACAATGATGACCAATGACTTGAAGTAAGATGGTACTGAGTAGAGACCGGAGCGATTTTTGATGTGGAGACATGAACGACAACAACAGCAACAACAGCAACCATAGTTGGAGTAGGAGCTGGGTCGTGCGTGGCAGTATCACCGAGGAGTAAACTGCCCCGTGAACTGACCGCATCGCCTCGCCTGCGTTGGCCCGTCGCCCCTCGTGCTGCAGGGGCTCAAGCCCGGAAGGTACCAGCCGCCTCACAAGAATCCCAACTGGAAGCCCCCCCCTACGGTCCAGAGGTACGTGGCCGGGTACTGGGTCTCCGTGAGATCCCGAGATGTAAATTGGTCCGCTTGAAACCGTCAAGAAGCGGAAACGTACCCCCGAGAGAGGGATTTGTTGCACGCGCATGCACGCTTTGCGACCAAAACATGTATTGTGTTTTGAGGAGCAGAAACGGCTTCAGGGTGTACGTGGGTAGACCTTTGGGACCGTCTTCTGGGTGTGTTTTTCCTTCGCGAACGAGGGATACTTTGAAGGGTCACGTGGTATACGTAGGTAGACTCTTGGGACCGCCTTGTGGGTGTGATTTTCCTTCGCGAACGAGGGAGACTTTGAAGGGTCACGTCGACGACGCGATCTTACGTCACCTAAACAACCACTGGACTGCTGTTTTTCGAAACTCGATTACTCCACAGCAGAAAGAACGGCCGTGCCGAAAGTGGCAGCGTTGGAACCGTCTCGTTAAGAGCTTTCAGGAAACTCCATCGTTTCATTTTTGCACCCTCTCCTTCGTGGAGTAATCGGGCTTTGAAAATCATTCCAACGGGTTGTGGTATCGTACGTTACGTCACCGACGGTAAATCCTTTCGACTGAGGACCTTTCCTCGCGAGCTTTCCTTCGAATTCCCGTAACTACCACACCCGTTTACTGTTGTTCCTTCTCCTAAATTCCCTTCCCACTGCTGACTAGTCCACCGTCAACACGTCACAAAGTTGCTACCCCTGAACCCCCCCCCTTGCGCGACCTACTTTCATTCCTGCCCGCGCGTTCGTTCAAATTCCCTCGATTAGAGGAGTTTGAACGAACCTGCGGGCAGGTGTGGATTTTGGAGAAGAAAAATAATATAAAATGGGCGCGCTACTGCCGAAATTGAAGAAAGGAGCGGGCAGGAATTAGAGAATATATAAAAAGGGGCGTGTTTAGAGTCGTAGGTCAGAGGAGGACCAGGAAGAATGAGATAGCCGTACTGTACGTGTTTTGGCTGTCGGCTCTCAAGGGGGGCCGCAGGTACTTCGATGGTGCCAAGGACATCGCCATTGCGGTAGACACCCCCCGTCTGCTCAATAGCGGTCGAGGGAGAGAAGTAGTACACACGTCGGACGACTAACCAAGCCAATCGGAAACGGGCTCGGTCGGTGATTTGGGCATGAGGTGCCATTAGATGAATTCGTTCGGGTGATGCTGCACGTGTTGTTGGAGACGGATCGCGTCCTCGGGCTGCCCCTTCACATTCCCGTTCGCGACGGAAAAACACACCAGACCAGCGGTCCCGAAGGCCCGGTCGTTGCTCTCCTCGAAACCCCCAAAAACTAATGGTATAATTCCTTCTCCTTAAGTTCGTCCCCGCTCGCGCTTTTGTTTCGTTCGTTCAAAAACGTCCCGCCGCGCGCGGCAGGGGTCCTCCGGGCCCAGGGAGCGGAGCAGGGTCGGGCACCGGCGCTCTGCCCGGGCAGGGGAACCACCTCCTCAACAGGCGCACGCGGGGCGGAGGCGGCGGCCCTTCGGAGGCGGAGGGGGAGTTCGACTTCGAGGCTGGCCTCGCCAAGTTCGACAAGGAGAAGGTGGGGTGGGGTGGATGGTGGGTGTTTTTTTTTTGCGGTTGGTTTTGTGTGGTGGAGTAGGTTTTGTGATGGTCCGCAGCAAGAGCAGAGTGGGCGGGGGGCAGGGG